TCTCTCTCTCTCTCTCTCTCTCTCTCTCTCTCTCTCTCTCTCTCTCTCTCTCTCTCTATATATATATATAATTATATGGGGCAAAGAAGTAATTCCAACAGTGTGGACAAGTTTAGGTTGTCAAGATCTCCATCCCATATACTATTTTAAGTAATTCGTATCCTACGGACATACCTCCATTAGGATCCAGTGTTATATGGGATTTTGGATTTTACCGTCTATATTACTTCTTTGACCCATATATAATATGGAATATCATGTTCTATAAATAACACATTTTTATCTATTAATAAATTTGAGAGAAAAAATGAAAATAAAGTGTAAGGGGGATGAGATTGGGATTGTTATTGGCAGCCAACCAATTAAATATGCACGATCGTAACCTCGTGCATGTGTAGATTTAATTGGTTTGTTTCTCCTCATCCCATATATAATCAGCTTCCCATGAAAAACACATCTTCGACAGCATAATTAATCGAGTCATTTATCAAATTTCATTTATTTGTCTAAAAGATCTATTTTTGTATAAATTTTAAAAAAGGAGATAAGAAACTTACAAAACTTAAATATTATATCCATAAACAGCTTGCATTAAAGCTATCTTCCAGAAATAAGATTGCAGAGCATTGCAATTTTCTCTTTGTCAATATCTCCATCTTGACATTTACCTGCAATAAATCAAAAGTGAACACCTCACTAGTAAACCCTATAATCTTAACGACTTTATTTTTAAGAAAAATTTACTTTCTCCTTCTCGGTAGTAACAGAACGGCCTCCCCGGTTTATGAAGTTTATACAGATATACCAAAGTAATGCATTACCAAACAACCTGTTCGGTATCAGGACAGTTTAAACAAAGGCGTGTTGTGTGTGGCCAATAATGATATGGTTTCTGACTATATATAGCATGTCTCAGTGTCTGCCATGTTCACTGTACTTTAGGTCTTTGGTGGGTTCGTTTCGCTTACAGAACGTATTTTTGTCTTTCCATGTTTTCCGAGGTTCCTCCAAAGCCGATGTGAGATGATAACTCTTTAACTACCAAACATGCAGCAAAGCTTTGTTTGCAAAATCTTAACACAAAGACATAGCTTTTAGCGTAAATGGCTCACCCAATAAAATTGGCCGCCGAATGTATTAAATTATTTGTTTTGTATTCTTCTTTTGATTATTTTCTGAAATGATTTCTCTTTCCTAATTTTGTTTTCTTTTGACTTTTATATTCCAAATGAAATACCTTTTTTGTAAAGGTGCTGCAAATTTATATTTTGAAAAAAGGTCTTTCTGTGCTTTTTTAAAAATGGCGGATCTAAAGGTTGTGGGGTTAACGTGCAAGGAGTCAGGGGTCCCTTTAGCCTTTGATCTTTTGACCAATGGGAATCCCCCATTCACTCTGAAGCAGGGTCTCACAGGGGAAAACCTAACTGTGGGGTCCCCAAAGGAATATTTTTAAGTGAAAAAACAAATTGTCCAAAAACATCGTATTTTATTATACTTTTTATTTTTACCCTCCCGGTGGCGCATGATTTCGTCATATGCATTCTTTGTCATATGGATGGGTGTTATACAGTATAAATATGTAATTTCGTCACGTGTTTGGCTTACGTCATAGAAAGCAATTTGAATAAACTTGTTAAAGATGTTAACATAGTTCTTAATATTTGATGGTTATTTTAGACTTTACATTGACAAACTGGAAAATAATATTTTGGCCGAAAGGAAAGTTCTACAACACAAACAATTTCTGGTGAACATATTCTTTTATTCCACATTTCTCTCAAATTATCAAATAAATTTACACAATGTAACAATAAGTAAATATTTTACCCAGCTGTAAGACACTTATAACGTCATAATGAATTATTATATTAGCATACCAGTCTCGAGGATCCATGTTACTGGAGCAGGCAACTTTGAGAGAGATTGAAACAGATCTAGTCATGCATCTCTTTGGAAATACAAATACATTGTATTTGAAATAGATTAATAAAAATGTCTCTTCGGCAAATTCACTGTGGCACAATATTATTCAACAACAATGAGAAGCACACGTTTAGGACGTGGACGGATGGCACTCCGCTCTTGAGGTATTCAACAAGACAATTCCGGCACTGAAGAGGTGTTCTAAAGGATAATCCAAGCAGTATATAGTACTCGACCGAGTTCTATATAGGTTTTGATAAGAGAATCACAGCACTTTATATATGTATGTGTTCTTCGGGACACTTCCAGCAGTGCAATGTATTTTACATGACAATTCAAGCACTAAGCAAATGTTCTACAATATACCTATTCTACTGGACAATCATATATGTATATAGTACTCTTCATGACAATCCCAGCAGTATGTAGTATTCTACAAGATAATCCTAATTTTATATACATATAAAGGTTATCGACAAGACAATCTCAGCAGCAGTATGCATTTATGATGACTTTATGTATCCCAGCGGGATATCGGTAATCTAATGGACGGTCCCATGATTATACAGACATCTTTGTATTATACAGGACAATCCCATCAGACTGAGATTAAGTAATCTATAGGAGGATCACATCAATTAAATATTATACAAAACCCAACAGTATATACAGGGTTATATTGGGTTTCTACAGAAAACAGTTTCAGCAATGTATCATTTAATACTATAGGCTTTTACCAGGAGTAGATAATACACCCGAACAAGGGAACTGATTGTTTTCGAACAACTGTGAGCGCTTTCATGGTTTGTAATTGATTGTGATCCATTGATTATCACAGAACAAACTTATCCAGGTTTACAATTTATCAAATAGCACGCTTTCGGCTATTGCAACACACTGATTTGGACACGTACAAGGATCGCTGACATCTGATTGATTGAGAGCGAATCAAATGTCACGGGTTTTTATTTTAGGAGCAGCATTGAAACCTATATTTATGTAAAGACGACTAATAGTTTATTCTAGAAGGCGCATTGACAAACGTTAGCAAGAGATTGTCAATAAAGAGGAAGAAAAACCAAATGGTCTGCAGAAGACATGTGTACAATCTCATGATCATCAGCAATGTTGGAAGTCAAAATATTTAGATTGAAAAAGTGTGAGATAAAGCCAAATACCTATATACAAATATGAAAACAATTAATAAATGAAACTGGGAAAGGTGCTTAGTCCTAGTTACACAATTAAGAAATTCAGAAACTGCATTACTAGTACATGTACATGCTAAATGTGTGTAAATGTAATGATTTCTACAAATAATATCGTAACAAAAAATACAAAATAGCATTTTCTACTATAAAACACATATACCCTCAACGTTTAAATGCCATCGTAATTAAATAAAATCTTACTTAAGGCCATGTATGTACATCCACGGAAACCAAAAGATACATTGAAATTGTTCATCTTTGATAAAACTATGCTCAGCTATAAGAGCCCTCCGTGGTAAAACCCTTCCCATCTCCTTTAGTTTATACATCTTTGATGATTAGGAAAAAAGCTTATACCCTATTTTATCATTAATTTTAAATAAGAATTATGAGGCCATAGAGAAAAATTTGCTTCTGTTTACAGATAGAAAGAATATTCCAAGCTATCACCACGTCTTCAAATATGACACAATTGCATTTTTATGAATATTCATGGCATACAAAAGTTCATATTAAGAAGAAAAATAATACTGAATTAAATGTTGTTTCCAAGTATATGATCGTTTCTTTTATATCATAAGGATCGATCCTGTATTTATAAACGAAAAATGGAGCATGGCTATTGGTTACAAAATCATTTGGTGATATTCAGTCTCAATTTTCAATTGAAATTATACATGCAATATTATATTTAAAAAGGTATAATTTCTTGTAATCAATATATGTATTCAATATGATACAACTTTACAACGTGCCAAGTCGACACTATAAAAGTACAGTTTCGGGATTATAGTAATCTTATCGAACGGATTATCGTGAGTAAAGATGATTAGCAGGTGTAACCGTTGAATGTACACATGTACGTGATTGGTCTCACTGTTACGTCTGTATAATACACGGTTTTACCAACGTCTGCTTTAAGTAGCTGTTTATTACATGGCAGCTATGGATTTGGCTTCCCCGTGATTCATCTACGATCTAGCATACATATACATTAAATAACAAGAATATCTTACCATTATTTCTGTGCTCCCAACAAAGTAACGGAATAGGGTCTCAGTTTTTATACGTGAAAATCTTACCACTATTTCTGTTTTCCAAACAAACTAACGGGGTAGGATCAAGGGTTAAAATGGCAAAACTGAATTTTATCATCACGAATCTTAAAAAAGATTTGTGAAATTTACTAAACCGTATAAATATTTTACGTGTCATGTTCATAAGCATTTTCATACAAGTATATAAAAGAAAGTCGCAGTAGACAAATCAACATTCAAGGAAATCACAATACGTATGGATAAGTTATATGTGAATTAGCACATAGATGACGGATTTTCATGTCAAATAAGTAAGATTGATGTTTTAATAATCTTCTCTGCTTTGGACTTAATAACAACATAACGTGAATATTTGATACATTATCTTTCCATTTGTTGTAAATTCATATATCTAATTATCAGAACGTTTTTTGTGACTAAAAATCCTGCATGGTAATAATTTCATTTACAGTAAAATAGCTAAGAACTTCAGATATTTTCAAAGATGGGGCTATGAATAACCATGTTTTTTTATCAGATATGAAAGTAATCATCTGTATCCGATATATACCATTTCATATTTTGACAACATATCGAAATGATGTACACAAAACACTCTGGTATATCATAAAATGTCAGTCAGGTTGTGGATTGGTCAACGTACATCAGTATGTCATTTTTCACTTGCGACCAATAAGAAAGTCTAACATAAACCATAGTGCACGATGATGAATAACGAAATCTAATGAAATCTTTCCATACTCCTCTTAAAGGAATAACATATGTTCTTCACGTGCATGCGTGAATTAACGGGAATTAAGTGTCGTCTGGTTGGCTTGCCCCCACGATTCCGCTGGCAACATCCTCTTAGGCGTATATACATTTTTAACCCCTTGGTGCATGTGCATGCGTTGTTCTGCTCCGTGCGGATTTACAGGGCCTACCTGTAATACACGTGCAAAAATACAAAATCAGTTTTTGTTATAAGTTTCATATACGCACACAACACGATTACTATAACAGACGAAACCATAAGTGATAACTAAGTTCTGTACTTATCGTACAATTTCAAAAATATAATATCATGAATTGGCCCAGTGTCATTTAGTAAATATATCGTTTCGTCTGTCATAAAACATTCAAAAATGATAATAATCTCAAAAAAACAATTTACATAACTCAGAGACGATTCTAATGAAAGTTCAAAGCTACCATATCTAAAGGTGAAATAGCATTGATGAATTGAAACAGTACAAATGTATAGTGCATGGATGAAATAATAGACACAATAAAAAGTACATATCGGTGAAATTGAATAGAAATTAAATTGTGATAAAATTACTTTTCTAAACACGTGATACATATAAGACAAATTTCATAAAATATATAAAATAATACGGCTTTTATAGAACAACATTATATTTCATTTACGTGTACATATATGTATAGAATAAATACCACACGCCGATATCGTGCAAATGAGAAAATAGACTCTCCGAGTGAAATTATCGTGCAACAAAACATGCAAAACGGCAATTACAAACATGCAATAGTATTTGTTATATATTTAGTTAAAGGTACTATTGGAACCATTTCATACCATTCTTTGTAAGTGACACATGCATACTACAGCTGGAAATTAGACTTCGTAATATACAACCATAAGATACCATGGACATTTTAAACATATTACATGCACATATTTCTGTTTAGGTTTCACGGCACATTGCGATATTAGCAATACTGTCACTACGGCATGTATTTAACAATTGTCTACCATTCCTGTATAATTTATTATATTTTATGAACATTACATATCGTATACTAAATATACATTACATTCATGTGTTAGCATTTTTACGGATTACTAACTGACTCAACACAGTTATACAAATCTATATAACTAGCTAGACAAGAACTGGAGCTATTTTTTTGCGGTTTATTTTTTTCTGAGATTGACAATAGACAGCATGACCCCATCCCTTTTGGAGCACCTCGTGTCGCCTGTTTTTTTAATCATGGTCTGTTCTGTCTTTATATATCGACGTAAGGTTTAGACTTGTCCTTCACTAGTTCTCAGATTTGCTTTGCATACCACAACCGACACATGCAAGTGCGATAATCTGCATGTCTTTCAAACAAGATGTGTTCTTAGATTTCTCAGCATACCTTTCGTGTCATTTAGATGCGATCTTGATCAACGCATTCAGACTCATACCAGTGAATGTCTTTGCTCAATAACCGAAAAGGTACGATTACATAAATTATACAAAATAACATTTCCACACCATTCGATTATCTTTATCCTAACTTTAAGTCAAATTTCTTCTTGTATTTGTCCAACCAGAACATAAAAAACAGTCAAGGGTATGTATCGTTATTCCTAGTTCATATTTAATAATTCTTATTGACGGCAAATAACGATCGGAAACCATTATACACATGGGTTAGACTGGAAAGTGAAGGTCGGTGAAGGATAGTGAAGTCGATGTCTCGAGTAATGCTGGGATCACTCATACAGCGGGTAACAGGCAGGATACAGAGTAGACCAGGATGTTTCTTGTCACAAACACCTTCACACAAATCAAGGGCAAGGTAAGAGGAGACAGTGTGGTTTCATTGTCACACGCTATTATAGCTATTTTACAAATATAAAAAAATAATTAAAGACAGCATTTTGTTTCAATCATCTATTTGTCAGGATGCAATATAATATCAATAAGAGATTAATTACTTAGTAACTGTTCCTACACACTAGAGTCAATTAGAGTTTCGTGGATGGGATTAGGTTTAGTATCTGCATGAAGTAGATTAAGTTCGTGAGTCTTCAATATGCCACTAAAGTGATGTTTAGTCAAATGCCTTGTTACTGCCACAGTTACGCCACGTGTTCGTTACGACTGTGTGCCATTCTTCACCTGGAAACCTTGACTTTAGGCAAGACAATATTTAGTGTCGATTTTTCCCTCTTTGGTCTTTCCGGTATCCGAACCCAATCTGCGGCGGATGATTTTTCCCTATGCAATGATGAGATAATACTGGACGACATTCTACTGACAGGTGGAAAGTATCCCTTCTGTGACTTGCCGCCTCTACTAGGGACAATCGCGTGTTCTCTTTGTCCCTGGTGGTAGGTATGGTAGGTCTTTCTCAAATCAACATAGCTACTCTTTACCTTGGTATTACCAGCCTTGCAATAAAAATCAGCCAATACACAATTGCAGGACAGCATATTCACTGCATGATTACTACCATTAACTACCTTTAATACGCAGAGGGATGATTTACCAACATGGGGTTCCATACTTCCATTAGTTTCATACCATTCCCTTATGAAAGGAACCCGAGTCATGTTTCTCCTAACTTATTGCTTTAAGGGAAGGTAATATAAAAGAAATATTTTCATATTATTTTTCATTTAGGAATTGGTTTTAAAATATGTTATTAACAAACGTCTACTATAATGGAATACACATGTATGCATTTTCAAAGATACAACAGAATATCTAGCTTGATTCTGCCCCTACATGTAGCTATAAGATAGAAGTGCTTCACGCTTGGGTGACGCTGTGTCTGGTGTTGGTTAAACAGATTATAAATCACAATGAAAATGGTTTGTGTTTGTGGAAATAGAAATGTTAAAATATTAGTATTTTACTGTTTTATCTTAACAACGCATACATACTTTTTTGAGATCATTACCCATTACCAATATTGAGGTCAATTAATATACAGGATATACTTATTTAATGCGTTAGTGAACATGATCATGCTTAAGACGTCCAAAATAATATGTTAGAGAGTGGGAAATATCCTCTCTAGTGCTGTGCGCGACAAGTTAGTCCTGACCAAGACGAGTCTTCCAATGTATAGATAAACCAAAGAAAAAAAGAGCCCCGCGTATTTTCTGTAAGTTCGTTTACATGATTCTTCCATTCCCGTTATAACGATGTAAACCTCATTAGTGATATTGAGGTATGGGAAAGAAGAATCACGCAACTACATAGAGAAGTGTTGTAAAATCGATACATGGATAATGAAATGTTTTTTTCTGTGCTAACGACAATTTCTAATGGGTTCAAGAAATCACCAATGTCCTGGCCGACTACATGTCTACATATTGTGGTATACTCTACCGGTTGTTTGCTTGCTTTTCTGTAGCTGGTAACACGCAGAACATACACGTGTAAGAAAAGTATCACAGGGAAGACAATTCAACGCACACTGACTGATTAAACATAAATACACATACACATATATCTCTCTCATTTACATATTGTTTACAGGTAATAACGAAGTAAAATTGCCAGTTCACTCATTATATCACAATGTTATTAAGCTCATTGTGTAAGCCACCGATCACATGGTCAGCAACAACAGTAATTAATCGAACTTAATTTCGGTACTTCAATCTATACTCGAATTTCCCGACTGAAATATATTATATGTAAAATAGAGGAACTAGTGCATTGGGTTAAACAAAAGTGTTCTTATAATTTCAACTAAAATTAAATAAAATGCCGTTTGTGCATCATCTAAGAGACCACACAGTCACTGACACAAGGACATATACTTGTGCTGACAACATGCAGGTAAGTTCAAATAATGATATAAAAGCATGCAGTGTAATTTTATGTATCGTAGTAAGTGTTTTTGTTAATTATAGTATCTACGCATTCATAAATAAGTGCATTTCTTTCAAGACCGAACCATATATTGTAACGAAAAAAAACCAGTTATGTCTTTTGAATTGATAATATAGAAACATTTCTTCTGAAGTATCATGCAAAGCTTGGTTTGGTTATTTGCATAAAACCTCCACTGTGTACCAACTGACTATCTAGGACAATGGTGAGATAAGGGTACACATTTATATACCGTCGTCTAGTGATCGTAATCAAAGTCACTGACGGAGGACACCTCCGTGATGGGGGTCATTACATGGATAGGCGGTAACGCCCCAAACCTCTGGAGAGCGTACTCTTTTTGACGTTCAATCTGTGTATTGGGAGTGAGAAGATAAATAGGAATATCGATTCTTTATTTGACATAAAGTGTTGAAGAAAGTGTAAAAATAGTTTGACTTCCTATTCTGAAGCTACGTATACACGATATCAATATCTTGAAATGTAACTAAACAAAACTGTATTCCATTTTCAAATATATAGCTGAATAAATTGCTTTGACTGCACCGCAAGGTACTTGGATATGATAAAACCATACACATACATGTTTATCATACAAGTGCATACATATAAACTGTCAAACTATACACAATGTACCTACATGTGTACCAGTTCTAGTGATGAAACATTGACATATCGTATAATGTTCAGTATTGCCTATAATCTACAGCAGTCTTGATAATTTCAACAGAAAAGGTGCTGAATAAACTCATTTACTTTTTGGAATAAGAGAACATGCATCTTGACATGATAAATGAGGAAGGAAACATACACATATGTATACTTTATGAGTAGGACTATAAGACATTCATTCCAACATGATGGCATACTGAACTACATATTATGCAAAATGTTACACACACGATACGACACCACTGTATATGTAAACGAGAAAAATATATTTATAAAGAATGTAAGAAGACCAGATAATTCCATTGCTGAGAATAATCGTGTTTTATTATTCAACATGCATCTGAGAAACAGAGAGCAGAAATCTTAATTAGTGCCTGCTTTACCAAGAATTCGCTGTAATGAAACACAATGGTTAAATGTTAGGTTATGATATAAATATCGTTTTACTCATATCAAATCCGTTAATTGCATCACAAAAAGGCACATTGTTATACAATATAGTCACGTCAAAATTATTAGTAGATGGATCGGTCAATGTAATAGAGATGTCATGTGGTCAGATAAAAGATATAGTGTGTTATTGGGTGTTTTACATTAGGTCTTAATATTTGTATATATGTTTGATATGCTTCATATTGCTTATGCCTTCGTTGTATGACAAGACCAATTTAAGAAGAATGCTTTCTGTGTCTTTCTTGCATAACTGATACAAAACAAATTATTACTTTGGAAATTAACGACAATAGTGCTGACCACAGTTCATCAAGCATGGTGTGAAATGAAATCGTGATGAGCATAACGTGATAAGGACAATAACCCGGTACAACATTAGGACTGTTATAAACAACACCTACCTGGCTCCACCTATACTCCTCGTCAAATTGAGCAAGTTGTTTTTTCAAAACTATCCAATCTGATGCCTGTCGTGTCAAACTGCGAGACAGCATTGTGTGCTGAAGCAAAGAGAACATTCACATTATAAAGTTGTATCCACCCGAGAAATACAGAGAACATCAAGATTGTAAACTGTAATACATCCGGGATATACAGAGATCTATACAGAAAACATCATTACTCTAACACATCTCGGATATACAGAGAGCATCTACAGAGAACATACGAATAATATACTATAATAATGTGGGAAATGGAGAGACAATTAACATTTTAAACTTTACATCATCTTCGAAATAAAGGTATCAAATAGAGATATAATAGACAACTTTATCTGGGTAAAAGGACATCATTTCATATAAAAGAACTATAATTCTCCTTTCATTGCATTTGTAATTTCTCAACTCCTATATTTTGTCGTATTTCATTTAATAGGTTTCAATCAGTTTAAAGTTAACTCTTTTATATGCATTCACTGTAAATATAGTTGACCCACAGCTCTAAAGCATATGTCCTTTCCCTTTAGAATAACAAAATGGTCTATGGAAAATAATTCTGATATGTGATTTCTATTATGTACAATGAATATCTATTGCCTTCAAAATGGATACCAATCATGCCTTAAATATTCAACACATCCAATGCAAAATAAATGTTTTTCACATAAACAAGGACAGTCCTTTATAAATACGTGTAAGGGAGACTCACCTGTGTTTTCTCTCTGTCCAGTCTTTTATATAACTGTTTTCTGTTTGCTTCACTAGTCTCTAGCCGTGTCTGGAAAAGGTAAAAACATTGTTACAACCTACTTTGTTATAATAACACGCGTTATATTTGGTAAAATACAATATATTTCGTCATAATTATTAAAACTGAGGACAAGTTTCAAACTCTATTTGGACACTACTATCTAACAAGCACACAAAAAGAGTAACATGCACCTTTTGTTTTCTACACAATTGATTGTTGACTTTTAATTTTCTGAATGAGTGCAGTTCACACTCCTGCATGTTAGAACGAAACTAACTACTAATGTTCGGCCCTATGCAAACAAATCAGAGAACGTATTCTATATAATATCTATCAATTATGGACTATTTTTCAGGTGTTCGTCTCAGTCAATATATTTTGTCTCAGGTGCATATAACCACATATCTATAGAGATAAAAAGCCCTTAACCGTTACATTAGATGATGAATAATGTTTTGATCATTAACCAAGGTGGAACGTCGGAAAGTACTGCATTTGGCATTGTGACGTTACAATGGAAGTGACGTCATAAAGAAAATATTGACCAGTTGTTAATAAGAAATAGTAATACCAATTCACCATCACAAATCAACGACCTCCACGTCGTGATTATAGTCAAACCAAGAGGAATGTAAGAAAATGTGTGTTATCTAATAACTGCTGAAGAGACATTGAAGTGAACATATCTGATCTGATATTCCACTCCTGTGAGTGTATCTTTATCGTTATGATGTACATATGTGATGGTGACATAAAACCACCGAACGATATCAATTTAATATTACTCATATAATATAATCAGTTCGAGTGTTTGAAGTGCTTTGTCTGTAGAAGGTAAATCTATTGTTAGGTTGTACTGCACTGACATACACATTTGCAATTGTTACAAATCTGGTACTTGGAATGTTAAAGAAATCATATTTTAGCATGGCGACGGTCAACATTTATTTGATTAAAGAACATAGTTGATCATCCATCCTGTACTTACCAGAAGCCCGTCTTTGTCTGTCATGGCGTGTTTAGCTTTCTTTATCAAGGTCATGTTGTCCTGCTTAAGTCTATGGATCTCTCGTTTTAATACGTCATTCTCCTCTAGTAATACCTGTGTGAAGATCAAACGGTAACAATACGTTAAATTATTGCTCGAAGGGTAGGTAAAATGGGATGTTATTACACTTATAGAAAAGGGACATGTCCAAATAATTATTCCTCGAAGAATAGTTCAAATAGGTTACTTTATACTGAAAGAGTTATTTATCGTTATAATGCACAATATCTTGTAATGTAAAATAAGGTCAATTATTGCTAACTGAGCCAGTACTTAAACACCATATGTTATAAGCGACAACTTTATGAAATTTACAAGTGCGGTCTTTGAATACAGATTGGCCAGTTAAGTTAAATCCATTTTTAAAATATGTGATAAATTTAATGAAATCGATTATCTAGATGATACAATTTTTGTTAAAAGATGGACCTTAAAATTCAACGTAAAACCACTGTCAGTGGATTAAACTGATAAGAAAATCAGTATAACAACACTGTGGCACATTACCTCAGTTTTGCGGATGATGTCGTTGACCCGTTGACCTGTACCCATGAAGGAATAGGAAGACTGGTTTGGCATTTTAGGTGTGCCCCTCCCGTCAGATTCCATTGAAATAGGCGTGATACTTGGACCCTCCATCCCTCCGCCCATCTTCCTCTTCTCCATCTCATATAACTGTTGGTACTTTTTTGCTAACTGTTGGGATTTAGAGAGCTCTGACTGCATATCTTTTAACTTTGTTTCAGCTGAAAACGTTAAAAGCACAAAAAATAAACAATGATACCAAAACTAAATTCCACAATTACATGTGACCAAACATCTACATCTAACTAGATTTAGCCCTAAGCTACATATATATAAAAATTGCAAATGATACAACTGGTAGAAAACATAAATTATGAGCTTAAAATGTCAAGATATCTAAACATTGACATTTGTACGTAAACACAAAGGTACAATTAATTTCTAAGAGTGTATCACTTCGAATGCGGCTAAAACTCTAATATTAATAAAAATAAAAAGGACATCGTTTGAATGCCAATTGGGTTATGGAATTTGAATCAAGTTAAGAAGCAGTTCCAAATGCAATCAGATCTTGACATTTTTACTACACTACTTACAATCTTTGGCCTTCTTCTCAAACATCTTCATGAGTCGGAGTGAATTTGTTTTCGAAAGTGAGGCGTCCTCTGTCGTCTTTTTGTTCTGTGCGCTTTGGCTTTTGGCTTCTGACATTTTTTCGTGTAAGGATATTTCTGATTTCAATCTCTGATTTTGCGTTTCAACATTTTTCATTAATTGTGCTTTTAGTTCATATGTCATTTCTTGTTCCTCTGGCGAGAGTGGCGGTCGCCTAAACAGTCAAATGAAACGAGGTTAAACCTTACATGTACTATCGATATCCTCTTTTATGACATGAACACACTGGAATGTATCTTGTGCGTCAAAGCTTTTAGTGAACTGTGACTGACTTCATGTGTCAATATTTGTAGACTGTCGATATGGTGAAACGAATAAAACAATTTACTGTAAAAACAAAACAAGCAGATATGAACTGACTATGTCAATATATTTCGGTAGGAACGTGAATGACAAAGAACAGAATCTATACTTACTTCCGGACACTTCCGTCCTCCCGCCGACCTAGATTTTTGCGAACGTCGTGATACATTTCTTCCATGTCCTTGGCCACCTAAGAAACACACAACCGGATGTAAGCTGTTCCACAAATAGATGATACGTTGATACTCTTCAATAGCATAGAGGAAGAACAAGAGAACAACTATTTTCAGCTGGGGTTCAAAGCGTGATCAATGCTTTATCATAGCCTGATATCTTACCCTTCCAGAACACTTGGTCTTATGCTCGTTGAACCTTTTCTATAGTCACCGTGTACCTAATTCATTTGTTCATATTTTGTCATTGTTTTATCGATTTTTAGATCAAATGACGGTTATATTGACACTTCGGTATTTTTAAAAAACAAAAATGGGGTAAGCGGCCATCTCATTTATATTTGTACGTTTATTTGATGATATAACTATAAGAATATTTGATGTATTTTTGGATATGTCTTACTATTGATTAATGCTTTCAAATAAATTTGAGGTAAAATATGTGCATCTCTAGTCTTTGACCCCTACTTACGTCGTCGTACATGCCAATAGCTTCCTTGAGCTGGTCAAACAGGCTTTCCATGACTTGCTTGGCATCTTTTTCCTTCTTGGCCGCCTCTAGTCGTTTAAAGTTACCCCTAACATCTTGTTGCTTTGCCTCTAGGAGGTCGAATTCCTCCTGCAGTTTCTGTCAGGACAAAATTAAACTTGTGATAATACGTACAATAACATTATTTAAATGACCTTTTAATTAATTACATTATCGCCAATATGTAGTGTCGGCAAGAACGGATATCGAACACATATGTCATTCAAAGCTTTATCGATATTACATTTTTAACATATTTATAGCATATTTCAGTGTCCTAGGGAATGTTCTATGGTATAGCTATAAAAATAATAATATACATGCACACGTACCGTGATATTACCACTAGCAGTACGGTAATGCATCACACATTTACAGTGGATGGTAGTTATATATCAATCATTTACAGTGGATTGTAGTTATATATCAATCATTTACATGAACTTACAAGTACATTTTCTACCAGCAATAGTAATGCAACACACAAATACAGTGTAAATACCGACAGTTTTAATATAACACACCACGTTCAGTGTAACTGCGTATAGTATTTATACAACTAAAATACGGAGTAACTACCACCAGTAGACCGTGAGTGGAAGTCACAGACAGAGTATTAAAACACAAAAAAGTATCAAAAAAGTTAAAGCTCCTCGCATACATATTGTGGCACCTGTAGGGCTACAGTGGTCACGGGACGTGAACTGATACTTGGAGTAAGGTATACTTTTGCTCACAATGATAACAATGAGCTTACCGTGTGTTCTAATTCCGACAAAACGTATTGTATAAAAGTCATACAATGTAAAATGCACGAGATATCTGAAAACAACAGTCTAATCCAAACGTCACATAAAGCCGATATTGATAGCAAAGTCGTTACTACTGAAAACTATGTAATAAAAATGGTGAATACATTAAACAAACGTGTTACTACTAAAACAATATCGTTTCAGACACAGACAATGAGTAAATTGATTATTTCTACACACATTTAACAAAGATAACTTCTAACAAATAAATGGATAATTTCAATACTACAAAAGACATTTTCACAAACTCGTGCTAAATATAGCTGTATGTACGACAGCAGGTGATACACAAATATCTCCCGTTGACTAACCATTGACATTGAGTCTGGTAATGATATTAAAGGTTTCAGTGATCCGTTACCCACCGTACAACGTAACAAACAGTTCACCCTATATTTAAATTAACAAGTGGCATAAAAGTACTCGTATTATCACAGTTCGAAATACCTACAAGCCAATATCTACTATACAGTTATGACGCTGAACAGATATACAACACTAACATCGATAAAATTGACTCAGAATATGTGTACCATTAGTTGACAATTTGAAGGTTAGTTTGGAAGCTAATGACCAAGCTACAAAGTTTCATATCCAGGTTCGTTTGGAAGTTAATGACCAAGCTACACATTTTCCTATCCAGGTTAGTTTGGAACCTAATGACCAAGCTACAAAGTTTCCTATTAAGGTTTGTTTGGAAGTTAATGACCAAGCTACGAATTTTCCTATCCATGTTTGTTGAGACTAGTACTATCATACATATGTAGAGTGTACAACAAACTTTCACACAGAAATACAAATCATTTCTAATTTGGTTGGTAGAATTGAAACCCCAAATGAATAACTGTTTGTGACATTGCTATATGTTTGATCATAGTAACGTTTACAGTCAGGTTCCCACTGTGTACGGTGCAAACACGATCAATAGTTAATAATCTAAGGAGTCGATGGACTAAATCTGAATTATATGATGTAGTATGTCGATGAGAACCGTTTTATGTGTTAAGTATAACCTTAATCTCGTTTTATTAGCTATTTGATGAAAAAGACGTTGCGAGCCAGTGGTTACATACAATGAGTACACAGATTGGTAGCTTATATAAAAAGTATGCTAAGATCAATGTTTAAATCAATATAGGTAAACAAAGACTCCTCACTAACATTTCATGTCGCCCTACATGTAAGCAGCCCTACAACTAAAATTTAATGTTGTCCTACACAGACCTACAACTAAAATTTAATGTTGTCATACACAGACCTACAACTAGCATTTAATGTTGTACTAGTACAGACCTACAACTAACATTTAATGTTGTACTAGAACAGACCTACACCTAACATTTAATGTTGTCCTACACAGCCCTACAACTAAAATTTAATGTTGTCCTACACAGACCTACAACTAACATTTAATGTTGTCCTTCACAGACCTACAACTAACATTTAATGTTGTCCTTCATAGACATACAACTAACATTTAATGTTGTACTAGTACAGACCTACAACTAACATTTAATGTTGTCCTACACAGCCCTACAACTAAAATTTAATGTTGTCCTACACGGACCTACAACTGACATTTAATGTTTTCCTACACAGACCTACAACTAACATTTAATGTTGTCCTACACAGACCTACAACTAACATTTCATGTCGCCCTACATGTAATCAGACCTACAACTAGCATTTAATGTTGTCCTACACAGACCTACAACTAGCATTTAATGTTGTACTAGTACAGACCTACAACTAGCATTTAATGTTGTCCTACACAGACCTACAACTAGCATTTAATGTTGTACTAGTACAGACCTACAACTAACATTTAATGTTGTACTACATGTAAGCAGACCTACAACTAACATTTAATGTTGTCCGACACAGACCTACAACTAACACTTAATGTTGTACTACACAGACCTACAACTAAAATTTAATGTTGTCCTACACAGACCTACAACTAGCATTTAATGTTGTACTAGTACAGACCTAAAACTAACATTTAATGTTGTCCTACACAGCCCTACAACTAAAATTTAATGTTGTCCTACACAGACCTACAACTAACATTTAATGTTGTACTACTACAGACCTACAACTAGCATTTAATGTTGTCCTACACAGACCTACAACTAGTTGTCCTTCACAGACCTACAACTAACATTTAATGTTGTCCTACACAGACCTACAACTAACATTTAATGTTGTCCGACACAGCCCTACAACTAACACTTAATGTTGTACTACACAGACCTACAACTAAAATTTAATGTTGTCGTACACAGACCTACAACTAGCATTTAATGTTGTACTAGTACAGACCTAAAACTAACATTTAATGTTGTCCTACACAGCCCTACAACTAAAATTTAATGTTGTCCTACACAGACCTAAAACTGACATTTAATGTTGTCCTACACAGACCTACAACTAACATTTAATGTTGTCCGACACAGCCCTACAACTAACACTTAATGTTGTACTACACAGACATACAACTAAAATTTAATGTTGTCCTACACAGACCTAAAACTGACATTTAATGTTGTCCTACACAGACCTACAACTAACATTTAATGTAGTACTAGTACAGACCTACAACTAACATTTAATGTTGTACTACATGTAAGCAGACCTACAACTAAAATTTAATGTTGTACTAGTACAGACCTACAACTAGCATTTAATGTTGTCCTACACAGACCTAGAACTAACATTTAATGTTGTCCTTCACAGACCTACAACTAACATTTAATGTTGTCCTTCACAGACCTACAACTAACATTTAATGTTGTCCTTCACAGACCTACAAATAACATTTCATGTCGCCCTTTATGTAAGCAGACCTACAACTAGAATTTAATGTTGTCCGACACAGACCTACAACTAACACTTAATACAGACCTACAACTAACATTTAATGTTGTCCTACACAGACCTACAACTAACATTTAATGTAGTACTAGTACAGACCTACAACTAACATTTAATGTTGTCCTACACAGACCTACAACTAGTTGTCCTTCACAGACCTACAACTAACATTTAATGTTGTCCTTCATAGACATACAACTAACATTTAATGTTGTACTAGTACAGAACTACAACTAACATTTAATGTTGTCCTACACAGCCCTACAACTAAAATTTAATGTTGTCCTACACAGACCTACAAATAGCATTTAATGTTGTACTAGTACAGACCTACAACTAGCATTTAATGTTGTCCTACACAGAGACCTACAACTAACATTTAATGTTGTCCTACACAGACCTACAACTAGTTGTCCTTCACAGACCTACAACTAACATTTAATGTTGTCCTTCACAGACCTACAAATAACATTTCATGTCGCCCTTTATGTAAGCAGACCTACAACTAGAATTTAATGTTGTCCGACACAGACCTACAACTAACATTTAATGTTGTACTAGTACAGAACTACAACTAACATTTAATGTTGTCCTACACAGCCCTACAACTAAAATTTAATGTTGTCCTACACAGACCTACAACTAACATTTAATGTAGTACTAGTACAGACCTACAACTAACATTTAATGTTGTCCTACACAGACCTACAACTAGTTGTCCTTCACAGACCTACAACTAACATTTAATGTTGTCCTTCACAGACCTACAACTAACATTTCATGTCGCCCTTTATGTAAGCAGACCTACAACTAGCATTTAATGTTGTCCTACACAGACCTACAACTAACATTTCATGTCGCCCTTTATGTAAGCAGACCTACAACTAGCATTTAATGTTGTCCGACACAGACCTACAACTAACACTTAATCTTGTACTACACAGACCTACAACTAACATTTAATGTTGTACTACACAGCCCTACAACTAACATTTAATATTGTCCTACACAGACCTTCAACTAACATTTAATGTTGTACTACACAGACCTACAACTAACATTTAATGTTGTACTACCCAGCCCTACAACTAACATTTAATATTGTCCTACACAGACCTTCAACTAACATTTAATGTTGTACTACACAGACCTACAAATAACATTTAATGTTGTTTTACACAGACCTACAACTAACATTTCATGTCGCCCTACATGTAAGCAGACCTACACCTAACATTTAATGTTGTCCTACACAGACCTACAACTAACAGTTCATGTCGCCCTACATGTAAGCAGACCTACACCTAACATTTAATGTTGTCCTACACAGACCTACAACTAGCATTTAATGTTGTCCTACACAGACCTACAACTAGCATGTAATGTTGTACTAGTACAGACCTACAACTAAC